TGCAATGAAGACTGCAGGAATTGTAATAAATATGTAAAATTTCTTAGCTTCTTATATACTGTCATAGGTTACTGTGCTTTACACTGGAGGCAACTACAGGGGTTTGCTTATATATACATGCAAATATATATATATACACACATGCAAATATATATATACACACACATAAATATATACATATGTATGTACACACACCTTTAGTAGGCTCTAGCTTTTATGGCAGAATGATATTGCAAATTCCACACAGGGCAAACGTGGAATATCCAAAGTGGGAGATGGAAGGTAGGCACTGTGTATTAGACAGAGAATTGACAGTAGAAAGCTCTCCTGGAATTTGGGGGGCAGGGGAGGATTGGTTTGGTTTGTTGTTGTTTTTTTTTTTTAAATCATTTCAAGAAAGTACATTGAAAGTTTTTAATGCCTGATTAGGGATTAATCTGTAATCTAGACATTCACTGTATACTTCAACTGCCACCTGAATGCCAAGTCTTGGAAAGATTTCAAACATGGAACAAAAATCCGAGGGATTCCTCTGGTATCCAAGATTCCTGAGCCTCTGATAATAATGAAACACCCCGAAATAAGCTTCTTCCATGAAATGAATTATTTTTAGTATTTGTTTTAGAAGCTAAATAACCATATCAGAAAGTCAAGTTCCAAACTTGCAGACCTGGTTCATACTCTGCTTATCAAGATGTAGAATGTGCTACTACGAATATTATTTTGGATCCTAGATCAGTAAAGATTGAACTTATTTTAATTCTTTTTTCCCTGAAAGAGAAGGACCACAGAGGAAATCTCATGCATCGTGGGATGTATTGCATTAGTGAAGGTGGGTCAGGGTATCAGCCTACCAGTTCTCACCTCTCTAACTTGTCTGTCCCATCAACCTACGTGCGAGATGCCACGTTGTGATGTGTTCTGGTCCTACCGTGCCTCACTTGTGCTTGTGAAATATGCAAAATGAGAAATGGGGCTTGATAGAAATCGTTCCTGACTAGGGGATGGCTGCCATGTGTTTCTGTGTAAAACTACTTCGTCTGGAGGAAGTTTTTGCTATCGTGATCCATGTCGTTCTCTTTTCACAAGGGAGCTTCTGCTCTCGCTTACCCAGCAGCGGGGACTGAGAGGGACTGTACAAGGCCAGGGATAGTTTGTGCTGCCAGTGGGCACTCTTTGTTCAGGCACAGCAAAATCTGGGGCCCCGGCCATGGCTGTCTGCCAGCAGCAAAATTACTACTTGAAAAACCACTTTTCTTCTGCTGCTGCGTTACCATATTTGTGATTGTAAGAAGCACTTAAGTTTTGTATATTTTCATTCAAAGGAAGGAGGATAACAATAAAATGTTCTTGTGAGGGAGCTGTTGGCTTGGAACGTGTTTCCAGCATGCTGGTCTTCTGAACGAGCAGGCAGGGAATATCCTCTTGTGCCTGTTGCTGCAATGGAAAATGACTACAGGGAATTGGACTGATAAGAGACGCGAGCTACATAATTCGCAGGTAGGTTGCTCTAATTCATGCTGTAACTTAATGATGGGATACCCTGATGCTTTGGGCTGCAAACAAAAGTTTCCCTTTATTATGTATTTATTTCAGTGTGAATATATATTTGTTTTGGAAACTAAGGCAAAGTGTTAGGAGGACTATAGCTAGTAGCTGTATAGGACATACTTGTGTGTGGAGAAGGGGATGAGCCGTTTTAGGAAGAAGAGGAGCCGTGTTGTAGCATTCGTAAAGAATACAAATTGTGTAGAATGAGTGAGCTTAAGGCTGGTTTGAGAATGGAGGAGGTGAGGTGCGTGAGTATTTGATGCCACCATCAATTTGAGAATGACCACTAGTGTCTGGGGATAAAGAGTTTTTCAATTTTACGAGGACTTGGCTTTTGGTCTGTGTTTAGTAATAGGAGCTACGGTCATGGGGAGCGGGTGAGGTGAGTCTGTGACTTATTAGTCTGATCTCTGGTTGTGTAGTTTGCAGATGAGTAAGTTATGGTAGTAGAAAGAAATATGATAGTACAATTAAAGAATATCCTCGTAGGTTTTTTTCTAATACTTAAGCAAGTCTAAGAACTTGCTTGAAGATATATTTTCCTCTGGCAGACAGTTCATGTGTTCTGCAACGACTCAGGAAGTAGAACAGTGAGAGAGAGAGAGATACACACGTACGTACGTACGTACATACATACAAGATCCTGGCATTCATGGTCAAGACTCACAGCTGCTTCAACCAGAGCAGATCAGCTGCATTTATAAATACAGTTGCATCCTGCAGGCGAGCAGCAGGAGTCCTGTATTTCTAAACCCCTGACTCTTTCTGGAGTTTGATATTAACCTTTGCTTTACACATGGAGGTTACAAAGTCCACAGAACCTAATAAATTCCTTTTAACTAAATATAACAAAACATAGGGTTTTACAGATATAGAAAATCTGTAAAAAGGCTCACTTCTGCACAGAACCTCTACCTTCAGATGCCTCACGGTCTTAAGAAACGCACCTACATCTGGGTACACTTTGTTGTGACAAATGTTCTTTCTCCTTCCTTGTCGGAGCTCCGAGATGAGTGTTTGCAAAGACTGTAATCCTTGCATTGGAGACAATAATGCCGGTAGGTTTCTGTAAGGACAGAAAATACCTATAACATGAGGTATAGGTTAAACCACTAGTGGTTTATTAGTAGAGAAATATGAGTCCAAGTCTGGTTTAAGGTAGGACATCTCTCATAAATTTTTATCGTGGATTTAAGTCTGCAATGCAGTAGTTTAATCTCCTGGAGGCAAAACGCTGTTCTGTGAGAATGCAAGTGGTCAAATTTGGGGAAAAGCAGGCTGTTCTGAAGGGATTTTTTTCTCTCCAGTTTCTAGGCAATGGTCTAGCTTATAGATCTTCTCAGCTTTGATATTGCATGTGGATATCAGAGGATCCAACATATTCTGAGAAGTCATAATACGTTAGCTGAATGAAGAAAAACATTCTTACGCTTGGTTTACTTTAACTTGTAGTTAAAACCGAAGGAAACTTCCGCTGTTTAAAAACAAACCACGCCACAGCGTGGAGTATTAAGCAGCAGTGCCTCTGCCGGGGCTCTCCTGTTGCTGTCTCCCTAGCAGCATGCTCAGTGTTTGGTTTGCTCCGCTAAATGGAGCATGTCGGTGGGGCCAGCCTGCTTGCCAGGTACTTGTTTACCTGAGGACTCCGGGTCACCTCTCTGCCGTGCATAAACATGCAGCAAAGACTTTGCTGTTGGGGTGCTGCACCCCTCAGAACAATTCGCCCGGAGGTTTTTGTAAGACTGGAAACACGTTTAAATGGGGCAGGTATTGAATGCTCCAGTGCCCCAGGCTACATCGTATGCTACATTTGAGCAGCACCCCGCAAACTAACCCAGCAACAACAGCGAAGAACTAGAAACTGCGGCCATTAGGCAGGAGCGCGTGGTTGCGTCCGGACGGGCTCCCGCGCCAGCCTCTCCTCCTGAGCTGTTTGAAGGCTGAGCTCCGTGAATACGAGATTGTTTTAATTCGGCCATTAATATGAACATAAATTCTACTTTGGCCAACTCCGAACCATTTTTAAGAGGAACCCATGGGAGTGGGGAGGGAGGATCTCTAAGGAAATCAAAAAAAAGTTAGATTCCCCAACTCAAAGGTAGCAAAGGGAAAGCGGGGATGACTTTTTTAAGCCTGTCAGCCAGCCAGGGTACTCCCCTGGCCGTGACAGACACAGAATATCCCATCTTACATAAAGTACACCATTGAGACAGTGAAAAATTATTCCCTGACTGAGTAGCTACCACCTGGCATGGTACTGCGTCTCCACTGCAGTTATTATTCAAGTACTATTCTATTTAGCCGGATTTTATCTGAGTTTGCTAATGATTTCAGCTTGAAACCATACTTTTGGGGGAATAAACAAAAACATTCTTCCAACTTTTTTTTTTCCTTCTTTAATTTAACTTTTTGTGTGTGTGTGTGAAGCTCCCAAAACTCACAAGGGGATAGTGAATACTCGTGGAGTGAAAACAAGTTAGAGTGCCCTGGTTGGGGTATTGATATTTCAGTTCATTACTGATCAACATGACAAAGCCAGTTTGGGTGGGAGGGAGTCAGGGCAAGGAAGAGTGACTGGGACTCGGGGGCAGAAGGGACGAACGGGTTTTCAGGAAATGTTTTGATTGTAATGGAAACTTACTACCCTGCCATGAAATACAAACACTGTGTGTTGTCAAGAAGTAAGAGCAGAGGGAAAATCAAGCTGGGCCTCAGCTAGCAGAAAACACGTAATACAAACAGGCTGGGAAGCCAGGTTTGTGGTTACATGGGGACCATAAACCCTTGAACCAGCCAAACTGAATAGCTTTCAGTCGCACTGTCAGCTACGATGCGATTACAGGTTATTCCAGCGCTAATCTGTTGTTAATGAAAGTAAAATTCAGATGCGAGCTTATCAGATGTTCTGTGTTCGTACTTTGTACTCCCAAGGCATTTGGAGAAGGCGTTATGTGCCTCAAAATCTCAGGAATAAGTAATCCAAAGCAGAAGAGAAAAAAATGCGGTGCTGTTAACAGCAAATCTAAAAAGAAGGGTTTGAATAAAGGAAAATCTTTCTCTGTTCACCTTGAACTTCGATCTCATGTCTGAGTGGGATAGTGTGTGTGTTAATAAAGCTGCCAGAACAGTAATTATGGAAATGCAGGGCACTGGCTGCAGCACCTGAATGTGGTTCTAAATTTCTGAAAATACAGTGATAATATCTCCCATGAGAAGTGAAAAATCTCTACCAAAGCAATATGCCTCCAGGACAGACTTTAATAGCACAGAAATGGAGTTTTTCCTGTTAAAAACAATATTCCCACAGAATTTTGACACATACCTGTGCCGCCTTCATATAAAACCCATAGAGTAAGCATTCTTTACCTCCCCTTCCCACCCCATGCAAAGGCTTTGACCGTGCTACAGTTAAGCTGTAGTTTCTGCTTTGCAAGCTCGGAATCACTTACCTAAAAGATCTCGCTCCTGCAGGACTAAAATAAACGCCAGCGCCCAAAGGCAAAGCATGGTTGCAGCCTCTCCAAGCTCTGCCGTAGTCCTGGTGGGGAGCCCCGCAGCCTCCCTCCCCGGCTTCGCATCGACTCCTCCGTCCAGCCGTTCGTGCTGAGGTTTAGCCAGAGTTAGGAGGAAATATGCCCAGGCTGAGCCAAGATTCTTGAGCTGTTCTCTTCTGCTTCCCTGCTTTTAAAAAAACACCCTTCCAGCTCCGCTCAGAAGTCCAGTTACCCAGGCAAGCTGGCAGTGGTCCAAGCTCCCCAAAGTTGTGTGTGGTGGTTTGTTGGTTTTTTTTTACCCTTGTATTTATTTAGGCAGACTACAACTGGAATGCGCCGAAGAGCTTTGGATCCTGTAAATACAGCAAGTGGGGCAAGAAAAGGAAGGGAGAAAGGAGGAGGAAGGGGTGCTGGATGTTTCTTTCCCCGTAGGATTTCATCTAGGGTGGGGAAAGAGTAATGCTGGAAAACACAGTATCTTTAGATCTTGTGAGCTTACAGGGCTTTTTCCATTATTTGTTCGTTTTGAAGACTGCAAAAACATCTTTTTCGGGCAGTACAAAGCGTGGCGGCGTTGTGGGAGGTGGCAACTGTCTGTGGTGCTTTATGTTTGGACGGGATCATAGGAGCTCCTGAGGAGCCGTCTGAGCTCTTTTCGGTTTGGCAAGTTTTTGAAGTAGGTTAGACTCGGTAGCATCACGTGCAAAAATAGCCCTGCTTATGGTATTCTGACAACGAGTGTGATTTTTAGCAGTATCTTAATAAAACGTTAATTGTTTGTCTTGAGGGTTCATGGGTGCTGACTAGGTAAGTGTCAGTCTTTGACCCCACTAGACTGGTGGTCAAAGACTTAAGGTCTCTCCTTCCTGGTACTGTTCCTCATATTCATTTAAGTTGAGTTGCCTGTTTTCAAACTACTGCAAGTGAAAGCCGAAAGGCCATTAAGGTGTCCTACTTAATCCTAAAGGCCGTTGTCCAGGATAAACAGTGTTCTAACTATTGAAAATACAAACCTGCAAACTAGAACAGATTTCCTTAGTCTTCACCACCTCTCTAGCAGTCAGAAAATCAAGTTATTCGCATAAGATATCTGAAAGTGAGCCTGTAGAGATGCTATCGTGGAGTTCAAACTATAATCATCCTCAGTGGCTTCCAACTCAAGTTAGATTGTAAGCTCAATTACAAGGCAAAATAGCCTCACTAATAAAGATTCTGCGGTAGGAATTTAGCTGGTAACTTCGTTGAGGCACTGAGCAAAACAGGGCACAGAACAACCTCCGTGCGCCCTGAGCCCTCAGGGCTGGTGCTAGTAAGCTAACGTTTTTATGAAATAAAAATGAAATTGGCTGTGAGAATTAGAGTGGCAGTGTTTTTCTGGGTGTTTTGGCTTAAATCACTATGTAGCAATACAGCAACTTTTACAAATTCTTGT